CTCAGGCAGGACTTGAAAAATAAATCTTTTTGCCTTATCTTTTAGGCCCGGGATTACAAGTACGAGAGACCACACCCAGCTGGGTGAGATTTCCTAAACACCTGAAAAAGAGTTTAGCCAGACCATGGTAGCACATGACTTTAATCCCATCACTCGGCAGGCAGGGGCAGGTGGATCCCTGTGAGTTCTGGGCCAGCCTGGTCCACAGAGAGATGTGAATGATGGTCAGAAGACAGGGAGAGCAACAACGACTGGATCTCAAACTCCCAACCCAGCTCAAAAATAAAGTGTTTTTCTTCCCCTTGAGACAAGCATGAGAGACCTTGCCTGCTGACTTGATTTTCATTTTTGTTCTGAGACAGGGTTTCTCTGTCAGAGCTCTCAACTTGGTCATGGTCCCTTTGAGGGTTGAAGGATCATAAATCATCAGAAAACATATATGCAGAGCAGTAGTGGTGTACAACTTTAATCCTAGCATTCAGGAGGCAGAGGTAGGCAGATCCCTGAGTTCAAGGCCAGACTGTTCTACAGAGAAACCCTGTCTAGAAAAACCAAGGGAAAAAAAAAAAAGAAAGAAAAGAAAAAAATAGATTAGACAATATTTAAATTATGATTCACAACAGGATCACAGCATTAGGAAGGTTGAGAACCACTGCTTCATGTAGTCCTGGCTGGCCTGGAGCTAACTACATAGAGCAGGCTGGCCTTAAACTCACACGCCCACCTGCCTCTGCCTCCTGGGCACTGAGAATAAAGGTGTACGTCACCTCGCCTGGCTACTTGCAATGCTAAATCTTCATAGGCACAGACCTCTCCTGTGCCTGGGTCTCCTATACCCTGGGTCTGTGCTCCCTGGCCATTGAGCATTCCCCTGAGAGCACGGGAATGTGTAGCCCACAGACACCAGGGAGAACCTCTCTTAGTGAGAGGAAAGAAGGCAGGGAAGCACACTGCTAGTACTGACCGTGGCTGGGGGGCAGCAGGCCGCTGAGGTAGGGGAGGTAGGGCAGACTTGCTCTCCTCAGCTCGTCCAGCTTCCCCTGCAGCTTGCGGACCTGGCTGTCGGAGCGGTTGACCCTCTGCCGAAGGCTCTTTAGCTCTCCGTTCTTCTTCTCCACCTGCTCCCGAAGGCAGCACACCTGGCTCTTGTTCTGCCGAGCCGAAAAGCAGTAGGAGTGCAGGGAGTCGATGAGCCTGCAGGCCCCCGAGGCCGACAGGATGACCTCGTTGATAGACATGGGGCTGGCATCACTGTGCTCGCTCTGCACGGCTTCTGCAGCTGGCTTTGGGGTTACATCAGTAGGCGGGGCAGAGGGGCTCTGGGAAGCCTTCTGCGGGGTCGCTGTAAGTGAGGAACCTGGAGGACTCTGGGCCACACTGTTGCCACTGCACCTTGGCTCCGCATCTCTCTTCGGCCTCTTTCGGTCAATGGGCTCACGGGGGACAGTTGGCCTCTCTCGAGTGTGCTTGGAGGAGAAACTGTAAGAATGAAGTGAGCCAATAAACTTGCAAGCTCCAGATCCTGGGGGTGTGAAGTCGTCCATGGAGATACCACTCTTGTCTGCCCCGCCTGCATCATGGGAGGAAGAAGCCTTTTGGTGGTCAGCCCCTGCAGCTGATACTTCTGCTTCTTCCGGGCTGCGGGCCAGTGGGGTGGCCAGTCCAGCTCCTGGAGTTCTTTCTAGGGACTGCCCCTGCTCCTGACTGACAGCACCTGGGGTGGCCTTGGGGGTTGCATCACTTTGTGGAGAAGCTCGCTTCAACTTTCGGGCCTCGGGCTTGGCTGTCGAGTTATCACTTGAGGGCAGTGAGGGACCTCCGGTTCCTTTCCCTGTTGCTGCGCTTGTGTGGCCTCTCATGGTCCCTGTGGTCTTTCTCCTAGCGTGGCCATGGCCTCCAGCCCCCCTTTTCTTCTCTGACAGGTGGAAAATAGAGGGCACAGCTGTGGGCTTCAGCAGGCGATGCTGGTCCTCCAGTCTTTTGGAGAAACTGTCTTTGGTGAAGTGCTCACTGCAGAGGAATGAATACTTAGTTGGGGTCCAATTATCCCTCTGAACGGCTTTTAACCACTGGATCAGTCGTTTGGAGTCTTTTAGGGGGAACCTGCGGGGCAAATAACAAAGTACTTACTTAGAAATACTTTGATGCCTTTCCCTAAAACTATCATCGATAAAAGCAAATCAAGTATTTCGCAAGCATCCAAACTCATACTGATGTCATCCACTTAAAACCTCATTAGGATTTCAGGACATCTTGCAGGTCATTAGGATTTCAGGGCATCTTGCAGGTCATTACCGAAATGGAAAGGAGAAAGCTCTACTGTCTTTTAGGACCCTGAGTCTATATATAGGGTAGAGAGGAAGGAAGGATACACCTCCCAGGTGTGGCAAGTGACCCTGCGCACAAAAGAGTGCTCGGAGACACCAGACAACAGGAGACAATTTTCACAACTAAGTGGACCACTGACCAAATCATCTGGTACCTGAAAGGAAGGGTCTGGGTGCTACAACTCTACTGAGAAGCCCATAGAGTTGACAGCAAGAGACTAGGAAATATCTCAGAGGCCCAGCTAAAAAGAGCTGAGGCTCTTAGCTCACGGTATAGTAAACAGCTTTAGCAAAAAGCCCCAAAGCTCCAGCCAGGCCTAATGGTGCAGAACTGTGATCTCGGTTACTCTGAAGTGAGACGGTCACAAGTTCAACGTCTACCGGGCTAGAGTAAGTTCAAGGCCTCCCTGGGTAACTTCATGTCTTTTTAAATAAAGAGCCAGGTGTTGTAGAGGCTACCTTGTAATTCCAGTACTCAGGGGAAGAGGGTGGGATGATTCACAAGCCAGTGTCACCCTTAGCTACTGAGGCCAGCCTCACTCACCTCAGCCGATTTTTGTCTCAATAAATAAATAAACAAACAAACAAACAAATAAAGAGCAACAAGTTGTTTATGGTGGCTCATGCCCATAATCCTAGCACGTGGGAGGCAGAAGCAGGACTGCCACAAGTTTGAGACCAGCATAGACTCTGAGCTGTAGGCCAACAAAGCTATTCAATGCAAAGCTATCTGTCTCACAACACCAAAACCACACAACAACAACAACAAAAACCCAGCAATAAAAAATGGTAAATTATGCTGTATGTCTCAGCAGGAAAAAATTTAAAAGATACTCAACAACATACTTAGTAATTTCTTCCCTCAGCTAATGAAGCTATTTAATAATTTTTCTTTTTTCAAGACAGGGTTTCTATGTATTGCTTTAAAGCCTGTCCTGGAACTAGCTCTGTAGACCAAGGTGGCCTCGAACTCACAGAGATCCACCTGCCTCTGCCTCCCGAGTGCTGGGGATTAAAGGCGTTCACCACTAACGCTCGACTAAAAATCACTTATTAAGGCAGTATCTGTAAGGCTGGTGGCCATGATCAACTGCTAAGAGCTCCACCTAAAATCTTCCAGCTCTCTGGAGGCAGGTGGGAACCAAGACTAGCTCTAACAGGATTCATCTGGATGTTCTAAGCAATGCGACATTCTAACCTTATTTCTCAATGTTTGTGAGCTTGACTCCTAGAGCTCCCCCGCCCCCAATTCGGGCACTGTCCACCCCTATACCGTGTTAGGACATCGACAATGCCAAGCAGCAGATCTCGTAACTCTGCCTCATTTTTAAAAATTGTTACCAAAACTTCTGGGATATGTTTTAACTGAAATTGTCAAGGAAACATTTCTGGTTGATTTTTTTACGGTTTAAAACAGTTACTAGGTTTTGTTTTGAACCAGACCGTAAAGACCAACCCTGTGAACTTTCAACAGACACGTGCCATTCCCATCTTCAAATTTTAACGGCAAGTCCGAAAAGGTAGCAGGATGTGCGAAGTGGCTTCTAAGGCAGAGCCCCTTGGCTCGCTGTTCACTCCTGCTGGAGAGGACCAACTCAAATGGGGGAGTCTAGAAAGCCTTAGGAAGGCGCGGCCCGCTCCGGGGCCACCCGAGAACCTTCCGGGAAGCCCTTCCACGGTCCTGCCGCCGGCCTGTGCCGGAATGCAGGATGCGGGGGGTGTTCAGTGCCAGTGCCCTGGCCGCAGGACCCCCGGAGGAGAGCGATGTGGGCTAAGGATGCAGGAAGTAGAGCTGCGTGCGCCGGGCCGCACTCCTGCCACACACCTCCAGGCGGGCTGTCCCGCTGAGGCAAGAGCGGAGAACTGCCCGAAACCTAAGGTCAGGTTTAACCCGAGAAAGCGCCCTTGCAGGATGCTCCCGAACCTGGCAGCGCCAGCCCAAATCAGTGCGGCGCCGGTTGGTGGCGGTGGCGCCGGGGGCCTCCGGCCGCTCTACCCGAGGCATGGCCGCGCCGGTCCCCAAAGCCGGCGGTTCGGACCAAGGTCACAAAGCTTCACGACCCCTTCCACCTCCCTCAGCTGCGCTCGGCTGGCCGCCCTCCCACCCCGGCTCCCCGTCGCCCGAGCCCGGCCCACCGCGCGGCCTCAGTTTCCCCCGCGGGCCCGGCCGGGGCGGGGGCGTGGCGGACCCGGAGGCGGGCCGCGTACCTGTGGAAAGAGACAGCGCGTTTCTCGCCTTTGCCCTGCCGGTTGGAGCAGTTCACCGCCGCGCAGCAGATCACCATTGCGGGCCTCGGTCGTGGGCGCCGCCAGGCTCCGGTGCTTGCTGCCCGCCCGCTGGCCCGACCCGCCCCGAGGGAGCGCGGCGACACAGCTCGGGACGTGGGCCGCGGCCGAGCCGTACGGCAAGATGGCTGCGCGCTGCCGCCCGCACCACGCTGCGCCCGGGCGGCCGGGCCACGGCGCGAGCGTCGCGGCCGCAGCGGGCGGTGAGTCCGTACCGAGACATGCGCGGGGAACCGTCTGTACGGAAAGATGGCTGCGCCGGGCGAGCGCCGCTCGGGCCGGCTCCCGGGTGCTTCCGAAGTGGCGGCGCGGGGCGGGGTGGGGGCGGCGCGGGGGCGGGGCGATCGGGTCCCGTCGCGAGCCACAGGCGCCGAGGCCCCGCCCCCGCGTTCCCACCGCCGTACGGCGAGATGGCGACGCCCGCGCTTCCGCTGCGCCGCGCTTGGCTACCGCGGCTTCCCGTCGCCGTGTCGCGCAGTAGTCCGTCGGAGCGACACCGCGGTCAGTCGGCGACCGGACAGGGAAGATGGACGCAGGTGAGGAGGGCGGGCGCCTGCCGTGGCGGGCGGGCTGGCTGGCTCCTGAGGACGCCGGGTGGGGCGGGGACCGGTGTGTTTAGCGGGGCGGGCCGCAGCTGCGTCCCGCACCGGGTTCGCGGGGTCACCCGTCAACGCCGCGGCCTCCGGCGCCTCCGAGGCCCGTGGTGAGCGCCCCAGCCTGTGGGCACGGCGGCTCGGGAGGGAGCGCCGCGAGCCCGAGGGACGATCAGGACGCGGGTGCATTGGTGCCCGGGGCGGAGCCGTGCGCCGCGGAGCTAGGCCACGCCGCGCCCAGCGAAGGAGCCGAGCGCTTTAACTTCTGTCAAGTTGTCGGCTGATGTTCCAACAGCCGCGGGATGCACGTCTTTTGTCTTTAAAGTTCAGTAACCTGTGTAGGTGATCCACGCTTCTGTGTCTGCGGCTGGAGACCATGATTCAGTCGCACCCCGCTTTGACTTCTTGGCGTCCTAATACCAGGTTAAGTGTGGGTGGTGTTTTTTTTTTTAAACAGACTCTTGATCCGAAGCTCCAGAGAGAGAGTACAGGTCTTTGTTTTTCCTGGCAAACTGTCTTGGAGATGTAAATCCACCAAATACATCGTTTCCTAACAGACCTAAAAATATCCACCCCCCACCCCCCCCAAAGGTTCTCTCTCTCCAATTCCCCCAGAGCATTGGAGTTTTCGTTTTTAAAGAACTGTTTTGCCTTCCAAAATCCACTCCTCTTTGAAGGAATCCTGTCACCTGGTTTAATTGTACCTGTATTGACTGGCATTGCTTTTGGTATTTTTTCGTCTACTGACATCTGCACCATAGATGAAGTTGCCTATTACTTGGGAGTGATGCTTACAGTTCATACACATGGCAGTAGTTTGTGGCATCTATTTCTTCAGTGTTTTAAATAGCTGGAGGAAGCAGAAACCTTGACTCCCCAAGAAGCTTGAACCAGATGTAAATTGTGGATGGATGGAGATATATACATGTATGTATGTATGTATGTATGTATGTATGTGTACATATATATTTTAGAGTGAATAACTGAAATTGTCACAATGCTTGCTGGAGGAATGGAGTGAGTAACACACACAGTTATTTAGTTATCCCACCCCCCTCTTTAAGACTGCCTCACCATATAGTCTTGTCTGATCTGGAATTCATAGCTATGTAGACCATGCTGGCCCCAAAGTCACAGGATTCTGCCTGCTACTGCCTCCCCAGCGCAGGGATTAAAGATGAGCAAGCCCCTCCTTGACTCCACTTCCCTCTTAGATACATTTTGGGTACCTACGGCTCTAATATGAGATGTTTAAAGACAGAAAGCCCAGTTTAATAGTCAGTTATATTACCTTTCATGTGAAAAACTGCCCAAGTATGTAACTGTGTAGTGAAACGTGTGATGTTTTTCTGTTGGCTTAATCACGGCACACGAATCTACCGCTGCTCCACTGCTCAGCACCCCACTGGCCACTCAAGGCTTCTAGTCCCTCCGCTCCCCCTCTGCCGAAGCCACAGTATGAGGTTTAAATTAAGTGTTTATCGTTCTATTTATCAGTAAGACTCGGGAGTTAAGGCTGGGGTAAACATCTGCTAGCTGAGAGAGGCTAAGTAGCAGCTAGCTGACCTTGCTCTTTTGGCCAGAGACACCACTGGAGAAGTCTCTTCCCTTGTCCCAGAACCAAGAGGAAGCTCAGCCTCCGGTCCCTGCCCTTTTCGTTCCTGTGTCTTCTGTATCCAATAGCTGACTCCTCTGTGGCCAACTCTGGTCAGCTAGTTGCTGGCTTCACCCTCTGATTCAAGGTCTAACTATTGGGCAGCTTTAGAAGTGTCAGAGTGCTTTCCAAATATCCTATCCTGCATATGGGACCTTACGTGGGTATTGAATGCTGCTGAGAGATCAAACTCAAAAAGACATTTGCATTTGAAGACGGGTGTTAGTACTGATAAAAATGCATACGATCTTTTTTAGGGTATGATGGGGCAGTTTTTCTCCTGATATAATGCTGGATGGTCTTTTATGGTCTACTCCCTGATCTCCCAGGTCCTTGAAGCTTCTGCCTTCCTTCACCACTGTAATATGGCTTCTGGTTGTTCTTATCATTGTGTTCCTCCCCCTCATCCCCTAAGCAGGGTCCCTACAGAACCCTGGCTGTTCTACAATTCACAATGTAGACTAGGCTGGCTTTGAACTCAGAGAGACGGGCCTGCCTCTACCTCCCGAGTGCTGGGATTAAAGGCATGTGCCACCATGCTTCACCTTACTTGCCTTTTGTGTAAACTACTCTAAATTCCTTGAACATCAGGAATTGTAATCTAGACATTGGACTAGAAAAATGGACTGTAAAAATTGCTATCTTGAGCTAGCTGACATTCTCTACAGTCAGGAGTATATAGGATTGGATGGTGCTCATATGGGAGAATGATACGACCAGTTATAGGAATTGTAGCAGAAGGACCAAGAAAAATCTCACTTTGAAAGTATATTTTTGAGATATTCATTATTTTTCCCTTCCCTCTCCTCTCTCCAAAGCTTCTTACATATATCCACCCCTTGCTCTTTGAAAGTAAATTCTTTTTTGTTTGTTTTGTTGAGACAGGGTTTCTCTGTGTAACAATTCTGGCTGTCCTGGAACTAGCTTTGTAGACCAGACTGGCCTCGAACTCACAGAGATCTATCTGCCTCTGCCTCCCGAGTGCTGAGATTAAAGGCATGTGCCACCACTGCCTGGTGAAATTACATTCATACTGAGGCCAAAACAAACAAAAAGTAACTGCTAGGGGAGCAGACTGGAAAGCAGCATGGATTTTGGTGTGCTCAAGTGTGGTGAGTGAGAGTCAATGGAGTTAAGTGAAGTAGAGGACTGGAGAGATGGCTCAGTGGTTAAGGAACTAACTTGTTGCTCTTCAAGAGGACTCCAGTTCAGTTCCTAGGATCTGTGTCAGGCAGCTCTTGGTATTCTAGGGGGACCTGATGCCTCTGGCTTCCCAAGGCAGCTGCACTCACATGCAAATGCCCACATGCAGACACACATGCCGCCTACACATAGTTTATTTCCTTTTTGGTTTTTGGAGGTGGTTTCTCTGTGTAGCCCTGACTATCCTGGAACTCACTCTGTAGATCAGGCTAGTCTCGAACTCAAGAGATCTGCCTGTCTCTGGAGTGCTGGGATTAAATGCATGTACCACCACCAATGCCTGGCTTAGGTTTTTGTTTTTTATGCAAAGACGGAGAAAAATTTAGATTCAATCATGGATCCTTGCTAGGGCACAGTGACAACTCAGGTATTTATTCTGAATAGGAAGGTTTTGAGAGGAGTTTGTGATTGTGATTGTACTGAAGTTAACAGACTGGTTCTTGGGATTTTTAAAAACATTTATTTTTCTATAATTTGTATTTGTTTTTTAATTCAAATATAATTAATGATTTTTCCGCCTTACCTTTTCTTCTTCCAACCACTCCCATGTACGCCGTCTGTCTCACAGATTCATGTCTTTGCCTCTCTAGGGCTGGGATAAAAGCATGTACCACCATCATCCAGCTGGCAGTAGTTCTTTTTCTAGGGTAGGGGCTCCATGAGATTTCCCCCTTAGTGGCAAGCTCGTTGGCCACCAGCTCACAAGTAATGACAGAGATTTGTTAATTATGAAAGGTTGGCCTTAGCTTAGGCTTGTCAGAGCTAGCTCTTATAACTTAAATTAACCCATTTATATTAATCTACTTTCTGCTATGTGGCATTACCTCTCTTCCATCTTGCACCTCCTGTTTCTTCTCCGTGTCTGACTGGCAACTCTACCTTTCTTCTTCCTAGAGTTCTCCATCTGCCCTGAAGTCTTGCCTATATCTCCTGCCCAGCTATTGGCCGTGCACCTTTGTATTACACCAGTCATAGCACTACACAGTGTGCAAATATCCCACAGTCTAATATATCCCCCTTTTGTCTAAATAAAAAGGAAAGGTTTTAACTCTTACATAGTAAAACTATGTGCAATAAGAACAATTAACAGGTAAGAATTACATGCACAATATCCAGTACATTTGAATTTGGCAAATTCAGAGAAATTTATATGTTCGTGAGTCCAAAGTTTTGTACCTAATTCTTTTCCATCCTAACTTGTATTTCCAACCCAAAACTATCTTTTTAGAACTTGAAACGATGTCTTAGATAAACAATTTGAGCTTTTATGTCTCTCAACCTTATAAACTTTATCCCTCTTTTGTGAGTTTCATTTCTGAATTTGGTAATGGGGAAAACTATAACTACAACTATCCAGTCTTCAACTCTATCAGAGACCCAAGATGGATATAATATTATATAATATTACCTAAGTAAAAATGTGGAGCAGACAGCTTCCAGAACTGTAGAAGTGACAGAAGCCCTGGCTGCTTAGACAGACTCCCACGGCTCCTCTGCAGACTCCAACGGGGTACCCATCTCTGACCTGTAGTCCTAGAATACCTTACAGACTCTTCTGTGGAGCAGGAATTTTGAAGGACTGACCTACCTTGTCTTGGCAAAGTCTGACAGTTGCTTTCTTTTGTGTACTGCTTGTTCAGTTTGGACAGCATACTGTCAGCAGTTGAAGGGAGGGTAATTTCTTGCCCAGTGGCTAACTTTGCTCCAAGGAAATCAAACTCCATATGGAGGTTCTTTGATGTTCATCATCCTTTTTTGAAGTAAATTGGTGTTATCAAGAACAGACATGTCTCGCTGCCCTAAAAAGACTTAACGTTATTAAAATATTTATAATGCCATATTCTGTAGGTCTCTGAAGTGTTTGAAGGCCATCTTTCTAAAATATATCTTGACCTGGAAAGCATACCAAACATGGCCACAAATTTGATTGTTATAGATGACTACCAACCTACATTTCTTAATTAGTTTAAAATTTTTGTAATAATAGCCTTTAAGGACTAGAACTTTACACTTTAAAATGAGCTGTATAGGTATAATACCTTAACAAGAGTAGAGACATATATACAGTATGTTAAAACAAAAATAA